ATAATAGAATTTGATGAAGGTAAACTGTAATAATTCACTTCATATGTTTTACAATGATTGTGTATACATTTATAGGTGAGAATTCAAGCTATACATAGGAAATGGAGCCTGTGATGGAAATAATCTGTAAATGGAAAGTTTTGGCTTGATTTCTGTAATCATATCATTTGCTTGATTGCTGATGTGCTGTGATTACTACTGTGATTGGTGGTGTGCTGTAATAAGAAGAATCTATAAACGGTTTAATTTATAAGTAAATAAAAATGAGTGAAGGTTATAATACTTGTGATTTTATTGATTGAAAATGAAGTCTGACAATTTATACCAAAATGAGTCTTAAAAAGTATTTTAATCCGTGCACAATCAAATTTTTTTTTCTCTATTTTTAATTGAATTCTTTAGCATAATCGACTTTTTTTTTTTTTTACTTTCTTCGCTGAAAAATATGTGAAATGTGTAATTAGATAAGTATTCGTGTGTCCATTCACGGATCAAATTACAAATACAGCAAGATAAATAGTATATTTCATCAATGGAACATGGGAAACCTTACTACATGAATACACTCATAGTATATATGTTTTGTTGGACGTTCATCTACTCGTCTTACTAAATTATTAATACACTCATAGTATATATTAAATTATTAATATCAAAGCGTTGTTTTACTGAAACAGACATTACATTAATAATGCATTGGGCCATCTTTGGTCTTAAATTCTCCCAACTCATTTCCCATATTTAATTTGTTTGAGCAAACTTTTGGCTAGTTACATGAAAGTAACTAAAAAGGAATTTAAAATAATAGATCATGATACTTTAGATTCATGAACCTTACAATCAAATACATTTCTAATACTCCAAGCTTATGAAATATCAAATCAATGACTGAAACAAAAAAACATATTATTTGATGCATAAAAGTCAAGATGTATTTATATTCTTATATTTCTGTGTTGTGATTGCGACTATTATCACTATAGTGAAATCGGTGATGTTTTTGTAGGAAAACACTTGATATGAATACGAGAATTTAGAAGTCGGTCATCTTATTAGAATAACACCACTTATGTAATCTTAGCATCTGCAATAAACTGAATGATAAGAGATTTGATCAATTCTCTGTGAGAAAAAATCTATGCTTTTCTATCTTGAAAATGATACGTAGGTTCTTTTTCCACCAATATAATTTTCTCTCATTTACTTTGTTCTCTTTGCTAAACAACCTGCGATGGGTTGTGGGATTGAACCATATACGAAGAATAATGTATAATCGTGTATAGAAGTTGCTGGCCAGTGAACACTCAACTGTTTGAGCACAATGCTTCATTTCAATTTGACAAAGGTAGAATGCCTAGTCGAAGGTCCGTCCCAAGCGAGAACGATACATAGGCAATGCATCATCCTTGCTGCTATGTACATTTTTCTTGACTTGACAGATTCATCCAATTCAACCCACTGCTTTTCTATAACTAGGTGCTCTACTTTAATTTAATTGACAAATGCTTGATAAATAATTGATAATGACATTAGCAAGTATGATTGTTTAGTAAAGAAACTACATTCTTGATGGAAAACACTAATCAATGGACAAGACAACATTGAATCTAATT